GTGCCGTGGGCCACCCCGACTGCAGCCACTGCCAGGCAGCCAACGGGAGCCTGGGCTGCCTGTGGTGCAGCCACGGCCAGCCTGCCTGTCTCTATGGGCCACTGTGCCCACCTGGGGCCGTGGAGCTGCTGTGTCCAACACCCACCATCGACATGGTCAGCCCCCCAGCCCCAGCCCTGATCTCCACCCCCAACTCCTCCCCAATGGCCCAGTCCCTCTCCTTCTCCCCAACCCCAGCCCCATCTGCCTTGCCGTGCCCCTCACTGTCCTAGCCTCACCCAGGTCAGAGGAGCTGCCTCCGGCTGGCCAGCTGGTCAGGCACGCCCCACTGCAAAGCAGGTGTGGCTTTGGGGATCCCATGGCCACCTTCCTTGCTGCAGATTGAGCCCCTGACTGGCCCCCCTGAGGGCGGCTTGGCCCTCACCATCCTGGGCTCCAACCTGGGCCGGGACTTTGCGGACGTGCAGGATGCCGTGAGCGTGGCTGGCCGGCCCTGCAACCCTGACCCTGCTCTCTACCGCACCTCTGCCCGGTGAGGCCCTCCGGGACTGGCCACCCAGAGATAAGGGTGGCTTGCAGCCAAGAAATGAGGGTCTGGGCCAGATGTGCCAAGGGAGGGGGCAGCTGGCAGTGAGAGGGGTGGAGGGGGTAGACTCCAGGGAGTGGCTGGTGGGTGGTTCACAGCTCCCGCCAGGGAAGGGCCCAGCGCATAAGGGCCCTGAGCAACTACCGGGCCTCTGCTCCTCAGGATTGTGTGTGTGACATCTCCGGCCCCCAAAGGCACCACAGGGCCAATCCAAGTGGCCATTAAGAGTCGGCCACCAGGCATCTCCACCCAACACTTCACCTACCAGGTCAGTGCCCAGCCTGAGTTGGTCCCCATGCAGGGGAAGTAGGAGGGAGGGACAGAAAGGCAGGGACACCCAGGTGAGGATTTCAAACTTGACCTCAGGGTAGCCGGGAGTGTTGCCACCTGTCCAGTAGGGAAGCTGCGTGATCTGAGTGGAGGACGGGCTGGGACAGTGGCGCCACAGTGCGGACACTGCTGGCAGCAGCTGTCCAGGAGGGAGGCGGGCAGCAGAAGCAATTAGAACAGAGGGTGGGTGGGCCAGTGTGGGGCTCAGAGCTGTTGGGACTTGCTGCAGGCCTGGGTGCCTCGGACAGGGGGGTGGGGAGGGCAGGGACGCCTTCAGGTGTTAACCTGGGCCTTGGGCACCTGTGGGGGCCATTTAGGGAGCCAAGAAGCCCAGGGAAGGAGCAGTGAAGGGCAGGGGCAGGGGCAGGGGCAGGTTAGCATTGGGTTAGCACCTGCTTGGCACATGCAGTATCCAAAGGAGGCAATTGGATCTCAGGGTTTACCGCTCAGGGGGGGCCTGGGTGTTGCAAGCGATGGCAGAGGAGGCCTTCTGGGCAGAGCAGACACAATGAGAAAAGACGCCTCCCTCCCCATGGGGCAAGGCGGCTGAGATAAGAGCTGTGGGGCTACGGAAGCTGAGCTTAGGGCTTTTCAGGTGGGTGCTGTTGGCCGTAGCCCAGGAGACAGAGCTGAGAAGTGGGCCAGCACCTCACAGCCCAAGAGCTCTGGGGACTGGAGCTGAGGCAAGGAAGCGCCAGGAAGGGCTGCCATGCCTGCTGGTCTACCATGCCTGCCCCAGCCTGCCCTGTCCCCCAGGACCCCATCCTGCTGAGCCTGAGTCCCCAGAGAGGTCCCCAGGCAGGGGGCACCCAGCTCACCATCCATGGGCAACACCTCCAGACAGGAGGCAACATCAGTGCCTTTGTGGGCAGCCAATCCTGTCCTATGTGAGTATCTCTCCCCTCCCCATTCTGGCCGGGCTGCTGTCAGCTGGGGACATTCCTTGTGGGCCTCAGTGACCCCTTTTGTACAGCACCGGGGGTGGACTCAGGGCTCCCCAAGACCCCCATGAAAGTTCAAGAGAAGCCTGGCCAGGGTGGCTCAGCAGTTGAGTGTCGACCTATGAACCAGGAGGTCATGGCTGGATTCCCGGTCAGGGCACAGGCCCGGGTTGCGGGCTCCATCCCCAGTGTGGGGCGTGCAGGGGGCAGCCGATCCCTGATTCTCTCTCATCACTGATGTTTCTATCTCTCTCTCCCTGGTGGGGGGTGTGCAGGAGGCAGCTGATCGATGTTTCTAGCTCTCTATCTCTCTCCCTTCCTCTCTGGAAAAAATCAATAAAATATATTTAAAAAAAAAAAAAGAAAAAAGGAAGTCCAAGAGAAATGGTCACTGTGACCTCCTTGGTGGGCTCAGCACCTCTAGAGGGAGGGAAAAGTGGGGCTTTTGTGGGGTGGCCAGGCTGAAGCTAGAGTCCAAGATGCCAGACCCCTCCCCCCTGCAGCCAGGAGCCAGTGTGTCCTGAGGCCATTGTGTGCCACACCATGCCCCAGGCCGGCCCAGGAGAAGCTGTGGTTCGTGTGGTCTTTGGCCAGGCCCAGCGCACACTGGGAGCCAGCCCTTTCCGCTACACAGCCAACCCCCAGCTCATGGCTGCAGAGCCCAGCGTCAGCTTCCGAGGGTGAGGACCTGGGCCACCAGGGAAACCTGTGTGTCCTTCCTGGGAGGCCCGGAGGTGGGGAGGCAAGGCTGAGCTGGGCTGCCCGCTGCCCCCACCCCTGCTGACTACTATCCTGGCACAGG